AATTGACTCCTACCCACCGCCAGGCCTTTGCACTTACCGAACCCTCTGCCTGGACTGCTCTCCAGAGAGATCTCTGGGTTGGCTTCAGTAATTGTGAACCACACATCTATTCATGTGACTTGATTGGTTTTCTGTTCCCCACCAGACAGTCTGAGAGCAGGAACCACATCTCTGTCCCCAGGAGGGCTTCAATAGGTCTTTGTGGGACCCAGAAAAGGACAGGATGGCCAATGAAGATCCTGCTGCCTGTCACTGCACCACATGGGATAGCAATGCTAAACCCCTGGTCTGGCATTGTTGAGCCAGGTTTGATGTAGACACTGCCAAAAATCGCTGAATAAATACATTCAACATATTTCTGAACAGGATCAAGAAGGAATCCTGGTTTCCGACAGACTTGCCAGCACCCATGGGTTAGCTAACTTTGATGGTTGAAAAAAATCACATCTTAGGATTTGCTTTTCTATGAAGGAGGTACTTTTCCCTGAATTAAAATAATTTGTATGAACTTGGCTCATTTTTCTATTGGGCTGCTGGTTTTTTTGTTTAAAGAGGTTCCCCCCCCCCCAAGGATTTTATTGGAGGACAGTGTATTTCTCCAGGACCCATCAGCTCCAAGTTTAGTCTTCAATCTAGTGGCGGGTACAGCTCCATGGCCCATGCGGGGATCGAACCCACAACTTTGGTGTTATGAGCACTGCACTCAACCACCTGAGCTAACTGGCCGTCAGTTGAAAAAAAATTTGTTTAAAGATTTTATTAAGGAATTGGGGAAGGGGAACAGCCAAGTTGTCCTTCAATCTTAGTTGTGGAGGGCGCAGCTAGCTCAGCTCTGAGTCCAGTCACCATCCTGCTGCCTGTTGGCACCTTGCAGCCACTCAGCTCAAGGTGCCATGTTCAGTCTTAGTTGTGAGTTGGCATAGCCCACCATCCCATGCAGTAGTTGAGCCGGCAACCCTGTTAGGAGCAGGTGCTCTCACCAGCTGAGGCTCAGTTTGGGCGCAGGTCACTGACCCATGAGGGAATCAAAACGGCAACCCTGTTCAGAGCTTGTGCTCTTAACCAACTGAGCCACTCAGTCAGCCCTAAATTTTTTTTTTTAAGTTGAGAGACAAGCCTGAAAAAAAATCTTCCCGTGTATGTAGCAAATATTTTTTTCCAGGGCACTTTTTAATGTTTTTAAGGTATATTTTGAGAGATCAGGCTAAGATTTTTAAAAATGTTTTTCTGGTGTATTTCATTAATCTGGCAGTTTATGGTGGAAACTTAACAGTTGCCCCAAATATTCCTTCCTTAATAATAGGATCTCGAAATCGACATTCCACTCAGAAAACGTTTCCCAGAGTGGTCATGTGATATGAGCCATTTTCAGAAAATAGCCACCCAGCTGGAATATAGCCACAATGGCCAGTTCTCCAGCAGCCACCTTTGTTCATGAAGCCACACACAAGCAACAAAGTGGAAGGAGCTTCAGTTCCTGACCCTGTTACCTGATTAGAACACAAGGGAAAAGGAAACACCAGTCCTCAGGCTGTACCCGGAGCTATAAGGTCCTGGTGTCCTGGAGGTGGGCCTTGAGGGCTGTGCCTGGGCTGACACTGAGCCTTAGTTTCTTTCTGTGTAAAGTGGAGGTGGTGATTTAATTCTGGGGGTGGAGGGGAGAACGCCACTGCAGATGAACTAGAGATTGAGAGAGGCTATGATGCACCACAAGGAATGTGGAAGTCCAGGGCTCTACAAAGGCTCACTGGGCACCGCTATCCCTACCTTGGAGCTCCACCAACGGCTCATCCACATTGTAGCCTGGGAACTAGTTGGGAAGGTAACTGTACCCACCAGCTGAAGGGCGGGGTCAATCCCATTAAGGGAACTTGAGAATGAGCCCAACTCTAACCTCCACCTGTTCATCCACCCACCCTGCCCAATCTGCTCACCCTCTCATGAGTTTGCCCACAGACCCCTCTTCCATGTAACCATCACCTGGCAATTCCCCACAAACCCTTAAAGCAGCTGGAGGTGAGGACCACTGAACTGAGCCCTCAGTCTCCAGAGGGAGTTGAAGTGCCAGGACCACCCACAGCAAAGGCTGGAATTAGGAGGAGATGGACTCTTCCATATGGGGCCTTTGAAGTGGGATGGCACTTGGATTGCTGACACCACTCTGGTTGGTTGGGGCTCGCTCACTAAGCCAGCCCAGGGATGACAGCAGGAACCCAGTGGACCCCTCCCACTGCCTCAGGTACTGAGGTTCCTGGACATGTCCAGGTGTCGAGTGTCATGCCTGGGCAGGACTTGGAGCCTGGGGGAAAGGAACTGCCTCTCCCTGACCTACTCTGCACTTGGCTCCTGAATCAGGACCATCCAGCAAGGGCAGGTGCCAAGGCAAGACAAAATGGGGACCCCAGGAGACCCAACCCAGATCCTGAAACCCAGAGAGACTGAGGATCATGGAGTCTCACAGTGACAGGACCAGTGGCAATAAAGGTTTACCTTTACTGAGTACAGTGTACAAATTCAAGGATGGACACCCAGCAGGTCATGCTGGAGCCAAAGTAGCTCACAGCTACTCACCCCTCTCACCTCTGACCCATGCCACGTCTCCAGGGAGCCATGGGAGCACTGGGGGTGCCTAGGCAGCAGGCAGAGGTGGGGGCAGCAGGTACCCATATGGCCCAACACTACTGCCCATTCTGCTCAGACTGCTGCACCTTCAGGATTGCCCTGCCCTTCTCCCAGTGGACTGGGTGAGGATCTTTCCAACTTATATCCTGGGCTCCTGCCTGCCTTCCTCCCATTAAGGTGTGACTGCTTCTCCCCACCCTGCTCTGTGCCCCTGCCCATGCTTCTTCCCACCAGTCGCAGGAGATGGTCCCCACCCACCCCACCAGCTCCCAACTCTGGGCATCCTCTCATGTCCTGAAATTCCAGAATGTTCTGAATCTACCCATTAGTTCCATTATTAGGTCCACCCCACTAGGCTCTACTCATTAGGTCCCTCATTTGTTCCAAACTGTTCAGTGGCTCCCCCCTCCCCACCCCCACCACCCTCTGAATAAAATCCACACCCCTTGACAAGGCTCAAGGTCCCCTGTAGCCCTCCCTGTCCAGCTCCTTCCCACCTCAGGGCCCTTCCCCTAGCTTTCTCCAGGTCTGGTTCATTCTCTGGCTGCAGGCCTCCACTCATTCCCCCAGAGAGTTCCCCACCCAGAGGCCCCACCTCCCCCTAGGCCATCACTATTGTCATCCTTCCGGTTCTGAGTTGAATATTCATCTGCCATGAGTCTGTTCACCAGGTGGGTCCACCTGGGTCCTACTGTGTCTCCAGCTCCAGGCGCAGGGCCCTGCACACAGTAGGCACTCAGTGAAAAGGTCTCAGCCCGGGTGTCAGTCTGCAGCCTGGAGCCCCCCTCCACAATAGGGTATGGGGAGGGGGGGGGAGAGGGTGTGTGTGTGTGCTGGCACAGGACGGTACCTCCCTCCCAGAACCACCCCGGGGATACAAGGCAGGTTGAGGGTGTTAGCATCAATTTACATATATTTGTGTTCCTTTGCTTGCCTTTGCGGGTAGGGATCGCCCGTCGGGATTTCCCCTTTCCCAGCCAGACTTTCCAAGAGGGTGCCGCGCAGCCAAGCCTGGAAAAATGGTGGAGGTGGAAGAGCTTGGTGTCCTCCCCACCCTAAGTGTGGGCTGAGGGTGCAAGCCAGCAGGCAAGAGATACCGGTGTGACAGTTGTAGAGTCACAGCCCCAGGGGAGGGGCAGGCCTGCCTTGCGCATCGTATATATAGAGAGAAGACAGTCCCGCAGGACACGTGGGTAGGCCTGGGGAACGCCGGACCAAGCTGGGGTGGCGCATGTAGGCCACAGGGAACCACCAGAGGGCGGCAGAGGCCAGGGAGGGCTGCAGCGCCCTAGCATTCCAAACCCGCGCGGATTCTTAGATCCCGCCCGCTTACAGAAGAGGGAACCTAGCCTTTGGAGGATGAGCCAGGACGCCAACCAAAGCTCAGAGCCTCCAGAGGCCCCAAATCCTCCATGTCTCCCCAGCGAAGGGCCCCAAGTTGACAGAGTCTGGGTCCCTTAATGACATGACCCCACAGCAAGGGACTTCCCCTCCAGCTTTCTCTGTCTCTTCATTTGTGTGATAGGGCCATTCCAGACACCACCTCCCCAGATAGTTATGGGTCTCCATCTATCCGGGTTCATGACCACTGACAACCCCCACCCATGACCTCCATTGTACGTTATGCCTAGTACAGGGCAGATGCTCAGTGCATGTTTGACAAGGAACCAAGTGAATGAAGAAACGAATGAAAAGGCGCTCTGTGCCAGGTTTGTATTATGCAGGTTCAATTTATTCCTCTGAGGCAGGGGCTCTTTTATCCCCATTTACAGATGGGGAAACTGAGGCCCAGAGAAAAGCAAAGACTTCCTCCAATACATATGTACTCAGGACCTGAACCCCAAGATCTCCCACTTGGCTTAACCAAAGGGTGAGGTTTGGTGATACATTCCAAGTAGGCTCTAGAGAAAGAGGTTCCAGGTGCCAGTTGGGGAAGGGGTTTAAGCCGCACGAGTTTTCCTTATGGGACTCCTCAGCCTTGAGAGTGAATTCCATTCCTCTAGGAGAGTGAGCGTTCCATAGCTCAAAGGTACTACAGCACAGCAGGGATTTGAATGCCGAAGCCACTGCTCCCGGCTGTGTGCCCTGGGGTGAATGACATGCAACCTCTGTGCCTCAGTTTCCCTACTTGTCAACGGGAGACATTAACAGCTGGTGGTCAGGGAAGAGAGCCACATGAAGCAAGGGAGGTGTGTGGAAGACTCCCAGATCCCATACCCGACAGCCATCCAGTAACCCCATTCCGGGAGGAAAGGGTGTGAGTCCTGCCCGCCCCCAAGTATGAGGGCGGAGTTTCGCTGACCCCAGAGCCCAATAAATCCGCAGCCCGCCGCTGCGGGCCACTGCTTTAAGCCCCACCGAGACCTCCAGCTGTCAGCGCCAAGCGCGGCTTCCAGGGAGACGGACAGGGGCTGGGGGGCGGACACACGGCTGCACGGGGAAGCCGGACCAAGGGGGAGGCGAGGTGGACAGACGGCGGAGGCAGCCGCGTACACGGAGAGGAGGGACAAAAAGGCAGACGGCAACAGCGAGGGCTGCTGGGGACCCAAAGGGACAGGCGTGCGCCTCACTGAGGAGGCCAAGCATCCTTCCACCTCTGCGCAGTCCTGCCTCCTCAGCCGCCGCCAGCCTCCCTTGCCCCGGCGCGCGGGGTGGCCAGGGTCGCCCTTGGCGCCTGCACCTGCTCTTCATGGCCGTCGTCGGGGCGGAGACACGGGCCACGTTCGGAGCCTGGGACTATGGGGTCTTCGCGCTCATGCTCCTCGTGTCCACAGGCATTGGGCTGTGGGTGGGGCTGGCGGGGGGTGGGCAGCGTAGTGCGGAGGACTTCTTCACGGGGGGCCGGCGCCTGGCTGCCCTGCCGGTTGGCCTATCGCTGGCCGCCAGCTTCATGTCCGCTGTGCAGGTGCTGGGCGTGCCCTCCGAGGCCTATCGCTATGGCCTCAAGTTCCTTTGGATGTGCCTGGGCCAGTTGCTCAACTCCCTGCTGACCGCCGCCTTCTACCTGCCAGTTTTCTACCGCCTGGGCCTCACCAGCACCTACCAGGTACCCGGCAGAGGCCAAAGGCTGAACCTGCCTGGCTGGGAACGCAGGGACGCGGCGGGGGTACCCCTGGGGCTTTGAACTGCTGTGCAGGGGGGACACAGATGGGCTGTTTCCCCTCCCCCAGGCAGACAAGTGGAGAGGGTTCTAGGAAGAAGCCCCAGGCAGTGGGGCGAAGGACAGGAAGGAGGAAGAGGAGCTAGCGTCCTCGTTGTCTTCAGTGGAAGCCTGAGGGGGGTGGGGTCAGACTCGGCCCGCTGTGCACTCACGTGTGGCTAGGCATACACTTCACATGCCTAGGTGTGCGGATACCCGAGTGCTCGCCAGACAGGGGGGTCGGGGTTCCAAACCCGACGTCCCAGCTTCCTCCTACTTTCGGCAAGGGACAGGCCTCTGCTCGTTTCCCAAATGTCCAACCTGGCTAATAACAGGACCTCCTTCCAGGGCCCTGGGTAAAGTGATTTAAATTGTGACCCATATACAGTAGGAGGCTAATAACAGTTGGACACAGGCCAATCAAGCAAGAATGAAGGAGGACGTGTGCACACTTGATGGCTCAGTCCTCCTGGGCCATCGGATGACGTATGTGCCCAGGTGTACGCGGACAGGTGGGAGTGTGTGCGTTTGGCGAGGGGTGGGGGCCTCCGCAGGAGAGAGTGTGGAGAGGAAAGTTGGCCTCCAGAGGGAGGGCAGAAACCAAGATGGCATGTGAACGAACCCAGAGGCCCTGAGCCCCTGGGTAGGACCTGTCCAGGTTGACCACCAGCCCTCGGCTCCTCCTTGCAGTACCTGGAGCTGCGTTTCAGCCGGACTGTGCGGCTCTGCGGGACCCTGCAGTACTTGGTGGCCACAGTGAGTAGCCTTGGCCCTGCCTTCTCCTACAGGGTCCTGCCTTCATAGGCCCTGCCCACAGTCCTCCCCAATTCTTCCCGACCCTGCCCCGTGGGTCCCGCCCCCATCCTGCATTGCGCTGCCGGGGCCCCGCCCACAACCCGCATGGCTACGCCCATCTGCCCTTGTCCCTACCCCAACCACCCTCCGTCCACCATCTCGGATCCCCTCCTCGCCCAGACACCATCACCACTACCCTACCTCTGCCAACATCTGCCTCACCTGACCCCCCACCTGCAGGTGCTGTACACTGGCATCGTGATATACGCCCCTGCGCTCATCCTGAACCAGGGTTTGGCTCTGGGAGATCAGGGCAGGGTGGCTGGGAGGGGGCAAAGCCTTACAGGCTGGAGGAAGGGGCAGGGGCGGCTCTAGGAGAGACATGGAAGGGAAGACTCCTCCAGGAGAGAGGACACTGGAGACCAAGTTTGCACCACACCCTGGACCTAATGGGGAGTCTCTTTGCACAGTGACCGGGCTGGACATCTGGGCGTCGCTCCTATCCACTGGAGCCATCTGCACCTTTTACACCACTGTGGTGAGTGACCCCCTTACCCCAAGTGGGGGCTCCATGCCTGCTGGGTAGGGGAGATCCTGGGCTGGCTGTCCACTCTCTACTTTCCCTTCCTCCCCAAGAAGCCCAGTCTCAGCTGGGCCTGTTTCCTCATCTTTATAATGAAAGGAGAGTTGAGAGGTCCAGGGATAAGCTAGCTTCAGGCCTGGCAGAATCTAGGGGCTACAACAGTGTCCTCTGGGTTCCTCTCCTCTTTAGAGGACCCATCAGCTCCAGGCATCCATCACATTGAGCAGAAAGTGAGTTCCTATTTCAGGATGGGCTGACTAAAGTCCAGGAGGGCTCTTTGGCTGGCCCTGGTCTTGTGTGCAGAATGGGCAGAAGTTTGGGAGGCTGGAATATTCTGATTGGCTATTCCTACAGCTGGGAGTGGGGATTGGCGATTGGCCTTACCTGAACGGCCTGTGGGGGCGGGGGTGGGGGCTTCTCCAAAAGAAAATCCAGGGGCTTCCATGGGAAGGCAAAGGCTGGAAGGGTAAAAAACAGCAGCTAATAATAATAGTAGTAGTAGTAATAATAGTAGCAGGCATCACTCACTAACTGAATACTTATACGAGATTTGGTAAAACAATATGGTGAATGTTTAAATAAAAAATATTTATTACAGTAAAAGACACATTGCCATTAACCCCCCTCAAAATATTCCCCTTTGCTTTGAACATTGTTCTGGCCACTTTCTGAAGCAGTTCTGGAAGTCCTCTGTCGTGAATGTCTTTAGTTGCACTACTGTGGCTGCCTCGATGTCCTGAATCTTTTTTTTTTTAAGATTTTTTTTTTATTGGGGAATTGGGGGAAGGGGAACAGACAAGTTGCTGTCCTTTTGTTCTTCAGTCTAGTTGTGGAGGACGTTGCTTCACTGGCCCATGTTGGTATTATCTTTGCGCTCTTCCTGGCTAGGCAGTCATTCGCTGGGCATTGGACGGCCACTCACGGCAGGTCACACTGGCTGTCAGCTGCTCACGCTGGCTGCCAGCCACTCATGGTGGCTCACGGCAGCCCACTACAGCAGGGGCTACAGCCCACCCCATCACTGGTGACTCACAGCAGCCCAGCTCCAGGTCGAGCTGTTGTTCACTATCTTAGCTGTAGAGGGCGAGCATCACTGGCCCTCATGTGGGATCCGAACCAGGGTCCTGCTGCTCAGAGCTGGTGTCCCAAGCCAGCTCTTAACCAACGTGCCACTCTGCCAGCCCGTCCTGAATCATTTTGACTTTGGGGAAGAGCCAGAAGTCGCACGGTGCCAGATCTGGTGAATAAGGTGGATGAGGACACAGCCGTGATGTTTTTATTTGACAGAAATTGCCATATACCAGAAGCGATGTGTGACATGGAGCGTTGTCATGATGGAGGATGACTTATGGCACATTTTAAAACACACCTCTCAACCATAACTCCCACCTGACTGACTGCACAGAGCAAGTTGAAACTTGTCACACACTGTTACTAAGATTTGATGTGCCGCTTCGGTATTGAAGATCCCTGCCTTTCCATTGGATGGCACTCGGCAGCAGCATTCACTGTAGGTTTTGATCACAACAGAAAGGTTCCATGTCACACATTGCTTCTAGTACAGCAATTTTTGTGAAATAAAAACATTACGGCGTGTCGTCATCCACCTTAGTCAACGGATTTGGCACTGTGTGACTTCTGGCTCTTCCCCAAAGTCAAAATGACCATGAAAGGTAAATGTTTTAAACTGATTCAGGACATCAAGGCAGCCACAACAGCACAACTAGACACTCAAGAAAGAGGACTTGTAGAACTGCTTCAGAAAGTGCAAGAATGATGGGATAAATGTGTTTAAAGAGAGGGAGTATTTTGAGGGGGATTCATGGCAATGTGTCTTTTACTATAATTATTTTTTTTATTTAAACAGTCACCGTATTTATTGATTACACCTTGTATATGACAGGTGCCATTCCAAAATATTTTTCTCATATTAACTAACTTAATTCTCACAACATCACTGTAAGGGGAGGCACAGTTATTAACCCATTTTACAGATGAGGAAACTGAGGCAAAGAGGAGCGTTGATTCTAGGCACTGCTAGAGGCCAGGCCTAGTTGGCTCCAGCCAGGTCCTCCATCTGACCCCTGCAGGCCACAGACAGGTCCCCATCTGACCCCCCTGTCCCTCTCTGTCACATCCTGCAGGGTGGCATGAAGGCTGTGATCTGGACCGATGTGTTCCAGGTCGTGGTGATGTTGGCTGGCTTCTGGGTTGTCCTGGCCCGTGGGACCATGATTGTAGGTGGGCCCAGGCAGGTGCTTGAGCTTGCTCAGAACCACTCCCGGATCAACCTGATGGAGTGAGTGAAAATGTAGCGGGGGAAACTTCAGATACTGCAAGATGATGGAATTGGCATCCCTCTGCCCTTGGAGAAGCTAGCCAATGCCTCCTGCTCAAGGAAGCTCTCCCTGCTCCCCTCCCCAGACTCCCCACAGACAGGACCCTAGCTCCCCTTCTCTATACTCCCCTAGCCTCCATTCTTTCACCTGGCCTAGACTTCTGCCCCACCCTACCTTTCAGCCCAGAATGGGAACTGAAGGCTCTCTGAGGTCCCAGCTGGATAAAGAAAGAATGGTTTTAGAATGCATACATGGATGACTCAGTAAACAAACAAATGAATTTTCAATCTGGCCAACTCCTACTCACACTTCAAAACCCATCCTAAATGTCCTTTAAGGCCTATAATTTCCAGAATGGCCATCTGGGGCCTTTGGGAGAGTAAATTCATTGTGGCATCCCCACGTGGCTTTCTTTTCTTGCCCTCATCCAGCTTTGATCTGGACCCACGGAGTCGCTACACATTCTGGACTTTTGTGGTGGGTGGCACGTTGGTGTGGCTCTCAATGTATGGCGTGAACCAAGCACAGGTGCAGCGTTATGTGGCCTGCCGCACGGAGAAGCAGGCCAAGTTGTAAGTGTTTGGGGAGCAGAGTGGGGACCTCTGGGATGTGCTGCCCCCTCTCCCCAGCCTGAGGCTGTACCTCCCTGCAGGGCCCTGCTCATCAACCAGCTGGGCCTATTCCTGATTGTGTCCAGCGCTGCTGGCTGTGGTATCGTCATGTTCACAGTCTATATGGACTGTGACCCCCTCCTCAAAGGGCGTATCTCTGCCCCAGACCAGGTGAGTCTTGTCCAGGCTCCTGTGCCACTCCCACCCCCACCCCCACTCTGAACTGTTGTATGGATATGTCTCTGGGGCGAGGGTGGAAGAGCTTTCCTAACAGAGGGAACAGCTTGTGTAAAGGTCAAGAGGAAGGAGAGACCTTGGATCAGAAAAGGACCTGGGAGGAGAAGGGAAGATGAGGATGGGAGGCAATAAGGAGCCATGGGGAGTGTGAGCTAGGGAGGGGCACATTCAGATTTAGAGTCAGATACTCTCTGAGGGGTATCAAGGAGAGGATGGGACCATGGTCCAGCATGAAGTGATGGTGTTGATATTAATAATGACCAGCTCCCATATTCCAAGCGCCTACTTTATGCCTCATGCTGTTCCCTTTATGAGCAATTAGTTTCCCATCAAATCCTTCGACAAGTGATGAGGCCAAGGCTGTCATGATGCCCACTTTACAAATGAGAAAACCAAGGCTGGTGGGGGCAAGAGGCATTGCTTGAGGTGCGCAGGCAAGTCAGGGGCAGCGCCAGGGCCAGGACCTATACCTAGGTCACACCCCGTGGCTGGAGCTCCAGCCCTCTCGCCACAGGATTCAGAGTTCACAAAGGCTGCAAGGCTATCGAATCTGCTATCCTCTCCTGGGGTCAGATCCTGACTGCCTGACTGGGCTGCACCTCTTGGCCTCACTGTCCTCATCAGTAATGTGGGGATGACTCAGGACACTGCCTCATTGGGATCCCAGGGCTCTGTATATAGTGGGGCAGACAATCACAGGTGCGTGCAGTCCATCAACAAACACACACTAAGTACTCATTGTGAGCCTGGTCTGCAATGGGTGCTGGGAATGTACAGAGTGAGGACAGACAAAAGCCCCAGCCTCAGGGTGCTGCTGTCCTGGAGGCTGACCCCTGACTTCCCCCAGTACATGCCCCTGCTTGTGCTGGACATCTTCGAGGACCTGCCTGGAGTCCCTGGGCTCTTTCTGGCCTGTGCCTACAGTGGCACCCTCAGGTGAGTGGCACTGCTTGCTCACCCAGCCATGTCCTAGTCCCTTGGGGCCTCCTTGTCCCTACCGGTCATCCCCCTGAGAGAGAGAATGCTCTGAACGTGTCCACCATTTACAGTTCCTGCTCAGTCCCCAGGGGGCTGTTCTGGTGGGCTCTAGCAGGGCTCATACCCTGGGCACAAAGACCCCAACTGTGGAGTCTTACCCTTTTTAGCACCTGGCAGAGCCACACCTGACTTCCCTTTCTCCTTTCCTTCTATCAAACTAATGTTTATTGAGTACCTACTGTGTGGCAGATACTGCTGTTCTAAATCCTGGGGAACAGCTATGACCAAGCAGTCCCCCACTTCTGCACTCAGGGTCCTCACATTCTGGTAATTTCAAGTCTTCTATGACTTCTGGCCACAGCCCTGCTCCTGCAGTGACCAGGGTCCTATGTGACAATTCTCTGCACCCCATTATTGCTCTGTAATGAGAACTTGTGTCATTTGTTTCCTTGGTTGTGGGTTCCCTGCTGCTGTGGGGGTGTCTCAGGTCTGTGGCATGGGGGTGAGGGGTGGACATCTCTTCCACTCTTGGGGGAGTCTATCATCCATGCCTTTGCCCTTGGTCTGGGTGGGGTCTTGGCAGGTTAGATAGTATGGACAGCTGGGGACTTCCCCCAGCAGGTGGGCCCCAGAGGGGGTATGGTCAGCTTCTGGATGTGGCTTGACCACACCCCCCGCCCTCCCCATCTCATGCCCCCCAGCACCGCATCCACCAGCATCAACGCCATGGCTGCCGTAACTGTGGAGGACCTCATCAAACCACGGCTGCCCAGCCTGTCGCCCCGGAGACTCATAATCATCTCCAAGGGGCTCTGTGAGTTGGGGGAACCTTGGTGGGGGGCCAGGGAGGCATCTCCCCGCTGACAGTGCCATCCCCATCTCTACAGCGCTCATCTATGGCTCGGCCTGTCTTACCGTGGCGGCTCTGTCCTCGCTGCTGGGGGGCGGCGTCCTCCAGGTGAGCCCCCTCCGCGACCACGCCCCGATCTTCCCAAGAGGTGGGGGTATCGTCCGCCTTGCACTGAAGTTAGAAAGGGTCATACATTCGGTGGCAAAACTGGGTTCCATTTGCCACGAGCAGCCGTATACTTTCTGCAGTCACCTGGGCGGAACCGAGGGGAGGTGGAAGTCGGGAGACGGTGGCCTGGGGGTAGGAAGGGCCTCGCCCTGGTGTGGAGGTGGGATCGCATCTATCCAGAAAGAATGAGCATCTTTGCCTGCAGCACAGGAGAGAAGCAGAAACAGGGAGTCCCCACTCCTTTAGAGAAACTGAGGCACAAAGGAGCCTCAAGGCCTGCAGTGGGATTCCTCAGGTCTTGTTTTCCCAGCGGGTAAACTGAGGCCCGGAGAGGTGGATTGGTATTACCCTCAGCCACACCATCATCCTCTCCCCCAGGGCTCCTTCACCGTCATGGGTGTCCTCAGCGGCCCCCTCCTCGGAGCCTTCACTCTGGGAATGTTCCTCCCCGCCTGCAACACGTGGGTAAGTGGGGACAGGCGAGCTGGGGGGCGTGGCCGGAGGCCCCAGTCCCCTGACGTTGGCCCCACCCCAGGGCGTCCTCTCCGGGATAGCGGCTGGCTCGGCGCTCTCGCTGTGGGTGGCGGTGGGCGCCACTCTGTACCCGCCCAGCGCGCAGTCCATGGGGGTCCTGCCGTCCTCTGCCGCCGGCTGTGCCGAGCCCTCAGCCAACACCTCTGGCCTCTTGGGCCCGCTCCTGGCCATCAACACCTCCAGCGGGGCTTCCAGGTGA